AGTGCATGTGGCGGAAGACAAAACTTGTCGTCCATTATAACATCTACAAAGACAGCATCCATGCTTTCAATATGGAACTAGGCAAAGCTAGACAGACTTTCTTCTCGAATATTATAAACAGCAACTTAAACAACTCTTTTTGCTACTGTAGAGAGACTGACAAACCCACCAGGCCAGATTCCCAAAGAAATGCTCTCAGACAGCAAATGCAGTGAGTTTGCTTCCTTCTTCTCTGAGAAAATCAATAATATCAGAAAAGAGATCAGCACATCCTTGAGTTGCGCTTGGGTCAGACATATTAGACCACAACCTGAGAAAGTAGTTAATATGTCTGATTTCGAAGAAATTGATGGCAACATTTTAAGAAAGAGCACCTTAAAACATCAACCTGCGCCCTTGACGCACTTCCCACATCTGTTTTCAAATGTGTGTTAAACAGCTTAGAAGCAGATCTCCAAGAAGTGGTAAATGCCTCACTTCTCTCTGGGAGTTTTCCAAACTCCATGAAAACTGCAGTTGTGAAGCCCCTCCTTAAAAAGAGCAATCTGGATAAGACCATATTAAGCAACTATAGACCGATCTCAAATCTTCCTTTCATAGGCAAGATCGTTGAAAAGGTTGTCTTCAATCAGCTTAATTCTTAAGCTCGAACTGATACTTTGACAATTTTCAATCTGGTTTCCGACCGCATCACAACACAGAGACAACGCTCATAAAGATAATAAACGTTATTCGCTTAAATACTGATTCAGGAAAATTATCAGTGCTGGTACTACTCGACCTCAGCGCTACATTTGACACTGTCGATCACAACATACTTCTTGATAGGATGGAAAACTGGGTGGGACTTTATGGGATAGTCCGAAAATGGTTCAGGTCATACTTATGGACATCCATGACATGCGGAGTCCCTCAAGGCTCAATTCTTGCGCCACTCCTATTCAACCTGTACATGCTCCCACTGAGCCAAATAATGAGAAAGAATCAAATCGCTTACCACAGCTATACAGATGACACACAGTTCTACTTAGCCCTATCGCCTAACAACTACAGCCCCATTGCAAGAATTAGATGCTTTGTTTCCAGTCAAGACTTAGAGAAACTTGTGCATGCTTTCATCACCAGCAGGGTGGATTATTGTAATGGACTCCTCACCGGCCTTCCCAAAAAGACCATAAGACAGTTGCAGCTCATACAGAACGCTGCTGCCAGGATTCTGAGCAGAACCAGAAAATATGAACATGTCACACCAGTCCTCAGGTCTTTCACATTCAAATCCAGACTGAAAACACATCTGTTTAGCTGTGCATTTACTGAATGAGCACTGTGCCACTGTGCGTCCGACTGTTTGTACTGTATTTTCTTTTCTTTTTTATTCTAAACTGTTTTAAATATTCTTATTTCTTTCGATTATTTTAATTTCTTCTATGTAAAGCACTTTGAATTACCATTGTGTATGAAATGTGCTATATAAATAAACTCGCCTTGCCTTGCTTAGGAGTTCTTCCTGGACGCTGGCACACGGTGCCTCGCTGACAGATATATCTGTAGAGCTGCGGGCTGGGCGACACCTAACATGTTCGCTAGGTTTTATAGCCTACACGTTGAGCCAGTTTCTTCCTGTGTGCTCGCTTCAACCAGCCAGTAACACCGAAGTTCCCGCTCTAGTGTCGGCTTGCTGCGCCACTCCCCTCCACATAGAGGATATGTGCGCTTTTTGGCTCCAGTCGAGTTCCCCACTTAGTTCCCCACGTTGAGGAGCGTCTGGGGCCAGACCTAGTGCTCGTATGCTTCTGTAACTTGTGCTAGGCTGGGTTCCATATGTTGTGATCCCTACTGGATGTGGCAGCAACCGTGGCGTTTTCCATAGGCATCACAATTACGTTGTCACGTCGACGTAACGTTGAACGCGAGCAACTGATAGGGAACGTCTCGGTTACAAATGTAACCCTCGTTCCCTGAAGGAGGGAATGGGAGACGTTACTTCCCGTCGCCACGGTTGCTGACCATCGCTGCACGGCAGTCACGATCTCGGCTCCTCAGCGAAAAACAAAGGTGCGTGCGCCCGCTTCCTCTTTATACCCGCGCTGCGGGGTGGGGCGCGTGACGCGATTCACGCACGCAAACGTTCATTGGGTCGTTCTGTAGACACTCGAAGATTATAGGGCTCCATGAAGTGGTCCCAATTTCCCCTTCAGGGAACGAGGGTTTTTGCGACTCAAGTTAATTTATCTTGTTTTGAGGACTTTTAGAAATTTCATAATATCTTAATAATATCTTATTTTATGTATGTCTACATATTTTACTGGACAACAAAATTAATAAAGTAAAAGATTTTGTCATTGAACCATTTGATAGCATCACTGAACCACTGGAACTGCCACATTATCTTTTTTATAAGGGATATGACCTTGTTTCAAAATGACCAGTACAGTGACAGTTGCTTATGTTTAGCAACCCTGCATAATACATGAGACTGTATTAGTGTGAAAATGCCTCTCTCTCTCTCTCTCATCCACTTACTGCTTTATCCTCCCATGAGAGCCTAAAGGTAATGGAGCAGGGCAGCATGGTTAATTCAGTATGTGGAAACACTGCATTGAGCAGAGGCAATGGATTGAGGGTGCACGTAATGGCAATGTGGGTGGTACATGTACATTTATTCACTTTTCAACAAGCACACATATGCAAATTAAATTCTGCAACCATTGACTGGTGCTTGTAAAACACACTGCAAACTGGTTGCTCAAATTAATTTAATTAATCAGGCGAAGTGAACAGATTTATGTTGGATAACTTAGGTTCGGGAGTATTACAATCGGGAGTATGTTACAAAGGGCATTTATGGCTCTCTCTTCAGACAGCACTTCTCAGATCCAGCAGCGGTGCTGTTAAAAAGACTACTAATCAATAGCCAAGATGAAGGGGGGCGTGGGGGAGGGGGGTGCTGATATTAATGGGCCAGTGGTGGCAGGTCAAAGCTGTAATTTGTTACACTCATCTATAATCACACTGTTTGAAACTACTACCAGATTTCTGTTCAATAACTCATGGAACAGATCTGTAGTTTATGCAAATTTCAGAAGATTTCCAAGGTCTTAAAAGGGAAGGAAATGGAAAAATGATGTGGACCAGTATTATCTAAAACTAAAACTGGCAACTAACTGAAATAAACAGAAATGTTGCCTTGGCAACTGACTGAAATAAAATGTTTAAATACTAAAATGTCTAAAACTAAAACAAAAAAAAATTAAGCTAAACATATAAACATATTTGCAACAATAAATTAAATGTATTTTTCACATTTTATACAATACTTGAGTGAGATAAAGCTAAACATATTTGTCTTGCAGTTTACTGAGTAGAAATTTAAAGAGGATTCAAGACAGTCTTTATTAGTATCCACAGGTAAATCCTAACAGAGGCAGGAGAGCAAACACAACCATAATATTGACGAGACCTAACAACACTGAACTGAAACAAGAGAACTTACATATACATGTAAATGAGGATAATTAAAGAAACACACCTGAACTGAATAACGAATCACATTAGTGTCCATTACGACAGATTAGACAGTGCAAAACGAACACAAAGTCCAAACAAAGAGAATCTGTGACAGTACACCCCCTTCCGGAAGACGGGAAGTAGGGTGGGGACTCTGAGGGAGGACGAGGAGATGGCGAAGGGTTGGAGAGGAGTGGGCGAAGGGATAGTGAGAACAGGCAGACTGGAGGAGGCTTTGGTGGAGGACGAAGATCTGGGAGGGGGATGGATAACAGGCCAGTCCAGGGTGCTGAGGTTTGTGGATGAATCCAGGTGATGGCCTTGAACAGGGTCGTGCAAATGGAGAACCAGGGCACAGCCACGAATTCGCACCATGGAATTCCATTCGTAGCTGGAGGGAGGAGCCATGGTGTGAAGATGTTTGACATCACCTTGGGGACGACTGGAGGCGATGACTGTGATGGTGGTGGAGCCCACAGTGCAGACGGAGAGCCGATGAGATGGAGAGTCAAGGCGGCCGTAAAGGAGCTTGGAATGGTGTTTGGAGAGGTGGTGGGAGAGGGAGGCTGTGTGGGGTGAACAGGACTGAAGACAAACACACAAATTGTCCATAGGGTCCAGCCAACACTCACACTCAGTGGTGGGAGGGTTGGCGGGGCTCGCTTCCATTCCCTTGTACTCCACGAGTGCTCCCACGGCAATGGACGATTCAGCTGGCTTGCACACCTGGTCAGACGGGGTCGCCCTAGATTTCCCGGTCTGTCCTGTCTCGATCACAGAGATCGCCCTTGAAATCTCTTCCTGTCTCGTCTCGGCCAGAGAGGCCATTCTAAGTTCCCAAGTCTCGTCTCGTCAAGGAAGCCGCGATTAAATAATATGTTTGCCTTGCCACTGACATCACTCATGAATGTCCTGCCTGCCCTGTTTCACGCGATCTGCCTTGGTGGTCCTCAGCTACGCCTTGGTTGTCTTCAGCTCCACTGTGGGGGTCACCAGTTCTGCCTAATCTGCTGTGGTGGTCTTTTGCTCCACCTCAGTCTCCAGTCTTGCCTCCACTCCATGGACCTGGCCCTCTGTCCCGTCCCCAGGTCCGCCTCCACTCCACTTCCCTCCTGGACTTATGTGACGGGTTGAGAAGCGCTTATGTGATGGGTCTGGTATATGCTCCTTAAGAGGGAGGGGGGCTATGTAACATTGTGACAATTGTGACAATATAATATAATATAATATATAATTGTCACGTTAAGGTCTTGTTTTTTTTGTTTTTTTTTCCCTTTGTTCAGTTTTCCTGCTCTTTATTAGTTAATATGGATCGTTGTGCGCTTCATTGCAGACACTCAACCCATGACAATAATATAATATAATATAATATAAAAGCTGTAGTAAATAGTATATCAGTTTTAGCATTAATGCTGAGGGATGGAATTAAATAATTTACTCCATATCAGCATATTCTGATGTTTTGATGCCATAAAACAGAGAAAGTTTCTCACCAAGCCTGGGCCTTTCGCCGAGTCATACTTTTTCTAAGCCACTTGGAGTGAGGGGTCAGGTGGTAGATGAGCTGTCTGCAGATTTTATCAGTCGACTTCAGAGTCTCTGAGTCCTGAAACAACAACATGATTAGAAAGGCACAATAAGAATAAAAAAAAGAGTCATTTGATTAAACTTGACAAGATAAATGTGGGGCCTGCAGCATGAAGTTCTCATATTCTGTGAGTAAACAAATAATTCACTACATAAGGAGCAGATCAGGGCAGTTTCTTATTGCAATCTTTTTTTCTGAAGTTTGATGGACTTTTTAGATCTAAATTTGTATTTGGACAAAAATACATCTGAAAAAGAATCTTCTCAGAGACTGAAAACAGTAATCTCCTCTGATATATAATCCATAGCGGCTTGGTGTCTTTTTTTTTTTTTTTGTCTTGTGGTTTTGCAAAGATGGCCGTCTGAAGCTTTGAATCATTAAACTCCTTCAATGTCTACCAGCCAAATCAGACTAATTCCTCAGATATAGATCTGTGAAAGTCAAGACCGAACAAATACATTTAAGATGATTCGTTCAAATCATTTTTAAACAAATGAGCTTTTTTTGGCAGGTCAATCTGTCTCTGTCTGTGCTGTCTACAAGTATCTCGATAAAGTAGATAAGAGAGTTGTCATTGAATGTGACACTTTTGTGCCTTTAAATTAAATTACAAAACTCATTGATTTTAATTTCAGAGAAAGTCCATTTTTATATAGCCTACATCTATACAATGTCATCTGAACATGTTGCTGAAGATTGTCTGCATTGAACAGTGGCAGTATGGTTATATTGTAGTTAACTTTACCCTTGATCACACAGGACCAAAGCATGGTCGCATAGATGACACAATTTGTTAACCCCGGAATTAAAATGTACAAAATGTATTACTGTGGATCACTGCTGTGGATTTTGATGTCACAATACAACCAGACTCCCTAAACCAAAATTTCACTGTTGCCTTCTATTAATAACTTGCACCCTGCTTAGATGGAAATCTCTGGACCTCCCACTGGCAAAAGCGAGATGATGGTTTCACATTTAGAGATACAAACCTGGTAAGAATGCACTGACTGTAGGAGGTGGAATAAATCATGTCATCAAATATTTATGCTGGAACAGGTGTGATGTTAAACCAACGGCATTTAATACCCTTGTGAAACCAATGCCCATTACTTTTCCTCTTTGTAACGCAAAATGCTGAGGTGCAAATTAAATTCACAACCGCAAACATTTTGTCTGTAATATTTAGACTGCAAACCAGCTTAAAGTGGACACTAAATGTGATTTTAAAAAGTACTGTACATTTAAATGAAGTCATTGTCGTTGTTTTCAGCTCAAAAACAGGTCCTTTTTATGCAAAGCTTATACACCATATTCACAAAAATGAGTCTGGCTACAATTAATGTTTAAAGCTATTTCCATCTGTGGAATTTTATATAACATATTTGTGAATTTATTTATTTAAAAGATGATTATATGATGGAGAAGTGCATTATAATTGGGCATACATTATACATCTGTGTTGCAGACGTTCACAATTTAGCCAACAGTCCCAGTAAAGTATGCCAGATTGTGTATGAAAGGCCATTTCCTCCACATAAAAAAATAAAATCATGCTTTGGTTCCTCATGATTATGACATAAGTCAAAATTACGAGATAAAAAGTCATAATTGGACTTTATGTAAAAAATTTACTTTATGTAATAATCATGTCATTTTATGTAATTACTTAACCCTTTTATCTCATAATTGTGACTTAGGGTGTATTCACACCAGGAAAGTCCGATAGTTCACTTGCTTTGGTCCGGACCAAATAATTATTTTTTTTTTATTTCTTTTTTGGTACGGTTCGCTTTTACACTGCTCTTTTTGCAAGTGAACCAAAATTTGTAAACAAAACCACACTTGTGCTAAGGTCGTCCATTCATTGGACAAGGATTCTCAAGTAGGGAAATCAGGAAGTGCAAAAAAGGCTCAGCATGGAGATATTTCGTACTGCAATATTTGTTCTTTTACTAATTTTGTGTTATTCTGTGCTACATGGGCAGCTGTGATACATGGGCATCTGCCCAAATGTTAATAAGGCAGCTCGTCTCTTCGAAGCTCCAGGTCAAACCACGACTCATTTAATCAAATGTAGTAGGCTACAACAGATCACTTTCCCATAACGCAACTCCGAGGTTAACCTGTTAACTCAAAGGTGCAGTGCTTTCTTGCAATTGGGTCGGTTCATGTTCACACCGTAAACGAACCGTACCAGAGTTTGTTTGGAACCGTACAGAGACCACCTCTTCAGCTGGGTCTTGGTTCGGTTGTTTGGTCCGCACCCGAGTTCGATTTCTGTATTCACACCTGCCCAAAAGGTCCGCACCAAGGGGGGAAACGAACTAGAGTTCGATTCAATTGAACCAAACAAGGCAGGTGTGAATACACCCTTAGTATCTGTCACGGTTCCAGCCATACCAATCAACGTCAGACCCTGCAACTCCACCTCTCCGTTCCAACTCACCTGACTACTGATTTCCTGCACCTGTCACTAATTAACCAGGACCTGCATATAAGCCCACACTCACTTTCACTAAGCTGTCTGGTCCCATCTCTCACCTACGTGCAAGACTTTCCTGACACCCTGTTTGCTGATCATCGTCATCCTCGGTCTACCCTCATCTTCATCGGTCCCGGTCTATCCTAATTTACAAGAGCTATTTAACTCAAGTTAAGTGATTCCTGTGCTTGCTGACACTCAGTGACATTTACCTGTGTTTCTTCACCTATTCTCCTCAATAAATACCTGTGAACGATTGTCCTGTTGCCTGTGCTTCCATGTTTTGTGACAGAAGACCAGAAGACCAGACCGCAACAGTAATATGGATCCCGGGACTCCTTTAGCCTCGCAAACGATCTGTTCGCCGACTTAGTTCACCAGCTTTGCCAGTCACTCCTTCCTCCAGTCGCCGCTCCCTCACCTGACCTGCCTGCCAGTCCCATGGCCTTACCAGCAACATTCTCAGAACTGCAGCGGCTTTATCCTTAAATGCACTGTTATTTGAGTGATGTCTGCTCATTTCATTTCAGCAAATTTCATTGACTTGGGCTCCGCAGGAGTTTCAAGAGACTTCATCAACCGTTTCCACATCCCACAAATCCCTTGCCAGAAGATGAATGTCCACTCATCCTGGGGAAACCACTCAGACGAGGTATTATTACCCACTGCACTCAATCACTCACTCTTTGCATTGGTGCCATCCATTATAAAAAAGTCACCCCTGGCTAAAACATCGTAATCCTCATATCTCCAGGACCTCTGGTGACATTCTCTCGTGGCATGACAACTGCTTTAAGACAGTTAAACGATTGCCATCGTATTCCCTGTCTACAACTTCTGTCTCGACCCATCTTAGCTACCAAATCATCTGATGTGCTCCTCCTAGCGACCACAAGATCCCAGAGGAGTATGTGGTGTTCCAGTATGTATTCAGTAAGCAACCAGCTACCTGTTTACCACCTCATAGGCCATAGGACTGTTCTATTGAATTGCTGCCTGGTGCCACCCTGCCAAAGGTAAGAGTGTATCCATTATCCTTCTCAGAACAAAAGGCCATGGAGGAGTATATAGAAGAGGCTCTTCGCCAGGGTTACATCTGCACTTCTACATCCCCTGCCGCTTCTAACTTTTTCTTTGTGGCTAAGAAGGATGGAGGCTTGTGAATCGATCATCGATCATAAAGGCATCGATCATAAAGCCCTCAAACAAGCAGACTGTATTGTACAAATATATCCTTCCTCTGGTCCCGGCGGCACTTGAGATGCTGAGAGGTGCTTCCATTTTCACCAAGTTGGACCTGCGCAGCATGTACAATCGCATTCGGATATGGAGGGGGGACAAATGGCAGACCACCTTCATAACACCATCAGGGCACTATGAATATCGTCTTATGCCGTATGGGCATGCGAACTCACCCTCCGTATTCCAGACCTTCATGAATGAGGTTTTCCGGGAGTACCTGCATCGTTTTGTGATCATCTATATTAACGACATCCTGATCTACTCCCGGAACGAGGCAGACCATCGCCTCTGCGCTACGCAGGTCCTCCAAAAGCTGAGGGAGAATCACCATTACCTCAAGTTTGAAAAATGTGAATTTCATCGCTCCTCTATTCAGTTCCTGGACTATATCATCGATGCCAAAGGTATCCAGATGGACCAGAGGAAGGTGGACACTGTCCGTAACTGGCCCATATACACCATCATAAAGGAACTCTTCAAATTAAGCACCTTATCAGATCCTCTCACCTCCCTGCTACGCAAGATGCCCAAGTCTCCGTCTTGGTCTCCAGCAGCCACGGAGGCATTCCATCAGCTCAAGCAGGCGTTCACCACCACTCCACAATGGGTGTTGGAGCAGTGGTATCACAGCAGCAGGGTTATCCAAGAATGCTCCATCCATGTGCCTTTTTTTTTCTCCAAGAAATTATTCCCAGCGGGGCAGAATTATGACATCAGCAATCAGAAACTTCTAGCCATCAAATTGGCTTTGGATGAATGGCGTCACTGCCTCAAAGAAGCCAAATACTTGAACCCTCGTCAGGACAGATGGGCTCTATTCTTCACCAGTGTAACTTCACTGTGTCTTACTGTCCTGGAACAAAGAATCAAAAAGCTGTTGCTCTTTTTCCGTATGCATGCCCCTGACCAACCAATGAGAATTTTTGGCACCTAGACGACCAGATCGCGGAAGCTACCCACACAGAACCTGCTCCGCCGGGAGGTCCTGATGGATGAACTTATGTTCCATTGGCTCTGTGACTTTCCCTTATGGACTCGAAGAAAAATAAGACACCTTTTTAGACCGTGGACCCCAGATCGTCTCAAGAGTTTAAAAGGCATTCTTCTGCCTCATAGGTGTGTCAGTAAATTTGACATCTGTCTACCACCCTCAAACGAATGGGGAGACAGAGAGGAAGATCTAGGAGATAGGACGCTTCCTGAGATCGTATTGCCATAGCCACAAACACAGCTGGAACTGGTACCTTTCAGTGCATACTCAGGTTCCAGTCTCTTGTTTCCCTAGTCAGGA